AAGATATTACATTATGTTCCTAAACTTAAGAAATCAAATCAAAATTTAACTAAACAATGTTGTCTAAATAAAAAGTCAAAATTGTCTAGCTGTCTAAATTAAGGAAATAATAGTGCTTCATTACAGACTCGAATTTCTTTTAGAAGTTTCAGAAAATTATGAACACCCCCCTTGGGAAAATTCTGCGTACGCCACTGACATTGCATGAAAATATTTTGGAATAATTAGAAGAGTTAACAAGGAAAACGCAAATTAGATGAGTAGGTTATATTGAAAACACTTCTGCATTATAAAAAGAACTACATTACAGTCACTTTGAGAAAAAAAAGCTTAAATTAGAGATTTGAAGGCTGTATCATTTTTATTAAGATTTCCTATTATTGCCTTTTGGGGTTTCTACTATTATGTTTCTATTATTAAAGTGGTTATGCATTACAAACAACTAATAATGTCACCTAGCAGAAAACTTCAGAGTTTTTGCTTCTTTCTCAAAATTGGTAGTTCTCCAGCATTACCGAATTAATACCATAAGATAACTTGTGACAATTAATGCTAAGGGCAAAAAACTTAAAAAAGGCCTTTTTATTTGTTCATGGTTTCCTATACTGTGACACGATAAAGCAACCTGAGGAGAAAAAAACGTATTTAACTAGCTACCATGCAACATACATTTATTTAATCAAATCCAATCTGAAAAATAATTTTTTTCTTCTTCCGTTCAAGTTTTTTGACGTTTCTCATGTAAACCGTGAACAAATAAAAGTGTCTTTTAAACTCACTGTTTTAAGCCTTATAATGTTAACGTATCTATCTCTTCGTCCTAAGCCTATACGATTTTTATTTTATTTTATAACCGGCGAAGAACTGCCGACCCAATTCTGTGTTTACGACTACCATTATTCAATTCCATAGACTTGTAACTTTGATCTCAAACCCAGAAGGTAAAGCAACTCCTCGATGGAGCATTGGGACAAACTAGCCTTCACGGAGGAATTTTTGATTCAAGTAACCCTCATTTGCATTACGTGGGCAGGAAAATCACGAAAACCTCCCACGGTTAGTCCAACAGCAAGAGGACTCTAACCCATGATCCGTCTACCACCGGGGATATTTCACATCAGTACTGTGGTTGATGCGAGCCGGGTGAAGAATTCTTATCAACTAGCTATCTCTGGAATTCGAACCTGGGTTACTTCATTTGAGGGTGAGCACTCCATCCCCTGAGCCACCACGACTCAAACCAATACTATTCGGCAAGTTTGTGTACACTTTATCCCCTACCTTAAATTGTTTTGGGATAGGAATTATAGCTTCGTCATTTTCCACTAAGTAAGGTGCTGTAAGCAACCTCACAGAGCAACGTCTTACCAATTTATAATGCATAGGCACCACTTTTCTGTCTATAGTTGTGCTAGAAAGTCCAGAGAGAGAGAGAGAGAGNGAGAGAGAGAGAGAGAGAGAGAGAGAGAGAGAGAGAGAGAGAGAGAGAGAGAGAGAGAGAGAGAGAGAGAGAGAGAGAGAGAGAGAGAGAGAGAGAGAGAGAGAGAGAGAGAGAGAGAGAGAGAGAAGGGTTGAGCTTTAGTGGGCACCCAGTGTAAGAATGTAATTAAAGTAGAGAAACAACTTAAATCTAAATAATATTTATTTATATATGTAGTTTCCAAATAGAGGAACTAGTCCAAGTCTTCTTTCCTTATACGTTTTATCGATTTTCCTTTATTCTTTTCTGGAGTTTCACATTCTCCATAAAATAGAACAGGTTTGCTAACGGAACTCAGCATCCATTTCAATGAAGCATCACACTGTAAAGGATTATCTGTGGATAGAAGAATTTATCGTGAGAGAAAATACTACCGGTTTTTAAAGTTATTTCAAACTATAAATCTTTTATGAAATTGAAAGAGAGTTTTTTTTAGCAAGAAATGTAATAATTAATTATAAAGTATCATATCGAGTAAGTAATTAATAAGAAAGTAATTTTATGTAAAAAGTAACAGATGAATACCTTATTAAATAATTAATTAATAATTTAGTAACTAGTAACTAGTAATTAATTAATAATTTAGTTCTTCTTCCAGTAAGTTATAAATAAATACCTTATTTAGTAGGTAATTAAGAAAAAAGTACCTTATCTATCGAGTTATTAAAAAAAGTGCCTTATCTTGTAAAGAATTAACAGGCAAGTATCTTACCAAGCAATTAATTAATAAGTTAGTATCCAGTAAATTATACATTCCTGGTATAATTAGAAATTAATAAATTTTCATATAGTAAGTAAATTTAAAATTCTTTATCCAGTAAGTAACTAATAACTAGAAATCTTATGTAACAAATTAATACTTTATTACAATATTTAATTAGTAAGCTAATAATTAAATTTTACTTTTATAAGAAAAAATATGTTTCAAATTCTTCAAATCGATCCCTTTTTTTATAGATTTTATTGCTTTATTTTTGATGTATTAAAAAGTAGTAAGTTATTATACTATTATCGTACTAAAGTAGTATACTAAAGTATTAGATTAAAGTAGTAAGTTATTATACTATTTTTTATATTTCCTCTTTGTTCACCTCGCTCATCAACCTCGGGTGGTTTCTTCTCATTCATCATTGAAGATCAAAGCAGAAGAACGGTTAATGTCCCTTTTTCAAATTACGTTTGGATTACCATCAGTAGCATTTTAAGGATTTCTTCAAGAATCTAGTGTGAATCTATCATACACTGTGAAAAAAGGCAGTGCTGTGAAAAAACAGTTCCTGTCGGTGTGAAAATTAATTTTTCTTTTTTTATTTCTTTTCAGAATCAGCTTTCATAGACATAAACCATTCTTCCGCTTTGATCTTCTAAAAAGTTTTGTTTTAAAAAACTATGAAAAAATAATTATTTGCATAAAAAATGTATAATTATTATAATTTAATGTAAGAGCACATTTCATTAATGTGCTAATCGTAACGAAATGAAAGAATAGCTGGATTTGAAAAGTAATCAAATGTAACTGAAAAAATTGAACTTAGGAATATAGAACAGGAAGCGATAAATAAGAAATAAATTTACTTGTCAAAAATATACATATAGCGATAATCTCATAACATAAACAGTTCGCATTGAAAAACGTTTTTTTCTTATATCTCTTTTCAGTCTTCGTATTTTGAAACTATTTTGACATACATATTAAGATTTTTGTCTGGCAACATCTAATCTTTTTACTATTTTTTGTACTTAATTTTTTTTGCTATTTTTGACATCAAGTGAAGCGTGAATTTATAAAATGAAAATCGCTAGAGACATATATTTTTCTATAACAATGGATAAATAATGACTATTTAAAGGAAAAAAAAGCGTAAAAAAAAACTTAAACATCCAATAGTTTGGATATTAATTTACAAAGCCCAAAGAAAAAGAGACAAACGTTTGCAAAACGTTACAGAAGTGAGTATTTACGATTAATTGTTCTATAGAAAAAATCCTATAACAAATCGTATAGATTGATTAGTATCAATAGATTTTATCATTGATGTGAATAAACTAAAATCAATGGAATAGAATCGCATCATTGATTCGAATCTATTTTAATACGGATTAACGAACTTTTTCCAAACTTAATTTGTATAACTTGATTTGCATTATGAAACTAAAACAGTGACATGAATAACCCATTATGAATTGTTTCGAATAACTTGTATACATGGGTAAGAGACATTATTATACTATTTCTCTAATCTAAAATTTAAATTTGCACTAATCTAATTTAAATTACTGAATGGAAATTTTTAATTAATATTGATCACTGATTCACAAATTCAAATTTTTGATTTGAATCATTGATTCAGTACCCAGTTTAATAGGTGGTGGCAAAGATTACAAACTGTGAAGTTTTGTGCAATGAAATCTAAATATGTTAAGAAAAATAAGCATTTTGTGATGATAAAGATATTAAAAGGCAAAAACTAACATTAAAATTCACACATAATATATTGTAGTAGTTAAAATAGCACACAAGTATCGACGTTGTTCTTGTTGCTAATCTCGGAATCGTCTAGCAGCGCTAGACGACCTCATGAATCCCGAACACCTCCAAAAAGTTCATAAAAAGACTGGAGTCTCGCAGGACCTCATCTTTACCGAACCCCAAACAAGTCAGAATATGCGCAGGGGAGGCCATGTCTGTCGAGCACCAATGGCATTCTGGATAAGTTTTTTGGCCCCCGGTTGAAAGTAAGGGATCTAGTGTGGCCACTCAAGAAGCGTGAAAAGACAGTTTGATGGGCTCTCGGTCTAAGATTGAAAGATTCTCCCGGTTTTTTTTGCAAAATACCAAGAGTGGTTGGGAGGAGTTCTTATGGTCTTGTTTAATTTTATTTTTGCCAGGGAAGAAATTTCACTAAAGGTAAGCTTCTCACAATGATCAGTGTCTTCTTCGGCAGCCGATTTGGCCAGAAAGTCAGCCCTCTCATTCCCATCAACCCCAACATGTGAGGGAATTCACTGAAAGTGTAAAGAATGGCCTGTCAATTAGGTCTAAAATATCAAGGATGGTCTGATCTTCGACCACTATCAATATCGACGCTACATTGTACTAGCATCTTCAACTTATTTCATTATTTTTTTAAAAAATGATACGATAGTTATTAAATTTTCAATAAAGTACACATGAGGTTACATCGATGTGCACATTTATATCAACTTGTGCGAATAATACTTTGATTTTAAGCCTTAAGCATACCAACAGTCTGTTAGCATCATTTTCTATTGGTTTACAAAAGTATGCTTTTTATTGCAACACTTGGTAATTATTTAAAATTAAAAATAATTTATGTTCAATTTAGACTTTGAAACTTTTATTAAATAATAGAAAAATCTATAACACTATTCACTTTTTGCATTCATTCCAATTCACTTGAAGTTGCTCTGTTTATACATTTTACAGTTAGATGAGGAGTAAATTTGAAAAATAGCTTCGTGTACCTAAGTTGCAGTTACTACCCGATATTATGATTTAAACCCGTGAACCATAAGAGACCTATAAAAAATCCATAACCATAAAAACCTTTAACCATAAAAAAACTCATAAACCATCACCTACTATAAAAAAATAATAATACTTTGCAATATGATTCAATATTTCCTAATTTTGAAAAGTATTATCACTGAATTTTGCAAAAAATAGATTGTGATTAAGTTTTAATATAGACGAATCAAATGATTTACCCAAAACCGTATACTCAATCAAAAAATATCAATATATCCCGCAAATATAACGATGCAATGCAATAAAACAACAATCATCTGCGACGAGACATTTATCATCTGCGACGAGACATTCGTGGAAGAGGTAAAGTCGAAACTATTTAATTTCGTAATAATCATTGAATTGTGCCTATAAGTTAGAAACCATACTGTGTTGACATTTTCCGAAGTTTTCAAACATACAAATATTTTCGCTGTATCTTTAACGAAAGATAAAATTGTAGACCATGAAAAAGAAGTCAAAATGAAATTACAACAAAATGCCGGATCGTAACACATGCTAATAAGTGAGCAATGACGGATTTTCTCTTGATTTCTATCTGCTAGCAAATGGTTCAGTAAATTATATTATTAATATAAATTTAATACTATAGGTTTAATACTATAACTATAAATTTTAAGAATTTGCATCTTCTTTTTGTTTAAATTCTTTGTAATTGGCACTATTCTTATCGTTAGAATTCAGGATTTTTCGTTGTCTTCTATTTTAACAAGATTCTAAACACTATTACTATGAACTGTGCTAGATTGGTTTAACATAACATATCGTACTGTGAAAAAGGCTTGATGGTTTACTGTGAATATAATTCAAATTATTTAAAAGAAAATCTAAATGATGCATAGACATTCGAAAAACCGTATCACACCACAAACTAATTGCGAAATTACTCATCGTTTTATTAATTGTTAATAATGATAAAACTCAAATAAAAATATAACAGATAGTTCATCCAGCATTAATTATTACCTGAAAAATCCAATTTTGTCAGCTGATTAAAAACGTTTTTCCACACGTAGTCTTCTAATACTTGCAGCCTGTTGTTTGTCATTTCAACTATTCGAAGCTCTGGCATATCGGTGAACAAATCGTGAGGAAGATATCTGAACTTATTATAACTGTAAAAAACAATATTGTTTTGAATTATATGAATTATATATCAGCAATAGTAATTATAATAAATACTAGAAAATAATGAGTAATTATAGATCAGTTGGAAATTAGTTTTAAACGCTAGAATTTTGTAAACATTAGTAATGAAGCAATCTGGCCTAACACTATTTCGAATAAAGATCTAAACAAAATTATTACCCATTCATGTGGAAATTTTAAAAAGAAGCTGGACTGGACATACTCTTCGTCTAAAAAGCATCGTACTTTCTTGGGCACCCGATGGAAATTGTAAAAGAGGAAGGCCGAAGCGTAATTGGCATCAATACGTGCACCAAGATTTGTGCCAAGTAAAACTAAATGGATGAGAGGAGGCCGGAGCTCAGGATAGAGGTGCTTGGAGAAAGAGACTTGACGCCTTATGTGCCAGCTGGCGCGAAGAGGATAGGTAGTAAGGAAGCATATAAAGCCACCAGCATGGCAGAATCAGCATTGCACATAATGTTGATTTGATGGTCAAAGAAAAGCATCATTTTCTTTATTTAATAAAGCAATTTTTTGTCACGTAAAACATACGTTACTTAAATTTTATTATACTGTTACTTAACCGACTTCCACGCAGTGTTGGTAATGCAGGGCAAGTATATACCAGAAAATGGCCCCTTAACTCTAAGAAAACATCAATGAAGGGAATACAGGGCAATGGCTCATGCATCCCCGCCGCTTTTTTTTTTATCCCGGTGAATCTAGTTATTATTAATAATAGATAGTGATTACGGAAAATGCATGCCTTTCACATTAATAAAAATAAAATACTATTTGCTGCTTATAGAAAATACTTTCAACCAATACTAATAAATCATGTTCTTAATAATTAAAAATTAAAATAATCATATTTCATATTTTGCAGGTTTAGGATTGTATACAGTACCTAGACAATGTAAGAAGTATTTAGCCAATTTCATACTGTGTTGGTCGGTTTTCTCTTTAAAAAGTCGGATAGTTAATGAAAAAGAATCTTACTAATTATGAATTTAGTATAACAGAAAAAAAAGATAAATACTAAACCTTACTTAAGGCTCATTGAACGTAGACGTTTCGCTGGCGATGGAAACATGTTCCTTTTTAACGACGTCAATTTGTTCGAATCCAAGACAAGGAAAACTAAACCTTTTACTTTTGCAAATACTTCGTCTTCCATCGTAATGATATCATTATATTCGAAAGTCAACGATGATAAGGAATCTGGAGCGCTGGTAAGCCAGTTAGTAGGCAAAGTGAATATTTTGTTTTTGTCTAAGACCAGCTCCTTCAATTTTGTCAAGTGACCCAAAGACCACGAACCAACAGGGTTGGTTTTGTTAAAGATAGCTCGAAGCTGAATAGTTTTTAAGTGACCTTCCAACCCTTCGAACTGAGGAGGATTTAAAGTGATTGTGGAGTTTTCAAACACAATCTTTTCCACAGAAATGCCTTTAAAAGCATCTGATTTCACTGGATCAAGGATCCAATTCATGAAGAAAGACAATTTGTACATTCTGTGCCCAGCCAAGCCCTTTTTAGCTGTTTCAAGTTGATCCGTTTTGTGAAAGTGGTTGCAAAATAGGTTTGGTTCACCATCATCTTCCTCTTCGCAGTAGCAAGGATAGATATCCTCAGGTTCAGGACACTCATATTTCAGGGACAGCACTGCTAGTGGCAGAGCCCAAGCAAACAAAGTGAAGAAGAGCTGAAAAAATAGAGATATTTATGGTTTAGTTTTCTGAAATGATTTTCCGCTCCATTTGCTTTAAAGACATTTATCATAGTTTGTTCGAACAGCAATAAGCAATGAATTGATTTTTATAACTAATTTATAGGGGTGGCAATTTTAAGAATGCTTTAACGTAGTGGCGAAATCATTTGACATTAGTAGCAGGAATAATTTTCAGAATTAATAATAAAATGCAAATGAAACACATAATTAATATTTTTCTTATGTCTCGATAGTAGCTTTTATTCCGTAGTAATATTGAAATAAAAATGAAACACGTTCGTAATATTATTCAAGCTATATTTATATTTCAATTTCCCAATAAAAAAATAACCCTAACTTACTTCATTGTACAATAAGTAACCCGAATATAAGCAATGCAACTAATTTGAGTGTACATGGGAAATTTTTTTAAATTCATAATTGTTGTTCCTAATACCAAGCAAATTTAAGACAGAGGGTGCGTTTCTAGTTTTCTGTGGCGCCATCTATGGCAAAAATACGTTTTCAACCACAGACATACGTCACAGCCCGTTTTAAATTCATACATCCACAGATCGTAATTTTGACCTGAACCAGAGAACGATCAATCTACAGTTCATTAGCCTCAGATATATTGATTTGATATGGGAACTTGGAGGACTTTGTGTCCTACAGGTTTAGCGTGCACCTGTCACCATTTACTACACGGGGAGTTTTGGGCAGGCGAGGATCGAATTCACGACCCCTTGGACACGGGCCCAACGCCCTATCAACCATGCTCTCCCAGCTTATTCATATTTGTGTATTTTGTTGCCAGTGTTTCACACTAAAAGATTTGTAAATGAGGTGAAGGCGAGATAAAAGTCTCCCGAGTATTCATAATACGAGTCATCAAAGCAAAGAAGCAATATTGCATTTAGAGAAAATTGTTTCTTTAAATTAAATGCATAAAAGCATATTTTTATTTAAAGATATCCTGCTTTGATCAATGATAGTGATCGAATTAAGGTGAGCTCATTATCTTTTAAATAGTCATTTTGCGAATTGCCAATGTTGACCGACCATTTTCAGTTAAGTAAAAAGAATCATCTGGGTTATCATGGACACTGAAAAGGGTTTGTTGCAAGAAAAAAAGCTGTGTAGTCGAAATCAGCTAATAAGTCGAAGCCTGCTTCCACGACAAAGGTGATTAGTATTGTTGCATCTCAACTGCCTATGCAGCGCAAACGAGTTCTGGTATTATCTATTGCATTTTAAGAGAAAAAGACATGAAACCGTGCAATAGGTTACAACATGGACACAATCTAGTTTTGCAACTATCTGATGTTTTATTTACTTACTTTTTACTTTTTCCTCTGCAAGGGGAATACATCGACAAATTTACAATTTGCTACTTTCTCAAATAAAAGTTATAATAATAGGTGATTTTACTTTATGTATATTTTTGGTCTATATTTGGTGCCTTTGCTTCACAAAAGTATAAAATTTATTGTTTCCGAATAAATTACTGAGTAAGTAGTTTAATTCGAAACAATATATTTTCGAAAATAAGTTCGAAACAATATTATGGTTCCAAATGATAGGAACTTGCTTATTATGATGTCGAAAAAATTAAGCTCTTGCCATCTGGTTCATTTGATAAAAAAAACAAACAAACAAACCCGGTTGATCAACGAAGGATGATCGCATTAAATGTTCATATATTCGAAATAAAGGCTAATTAATAAACATACAGAGGTTGATAAAAATGAATTGACATGTGTATAGAAGGAATACACCTTTTAAAACCACGAATAGGGTTTCCTGAAAACAAAATGTTTCGTTTTCGTGTTTCAAAATCATGTAAAGGATGCATGTAAAACAACGAAGACTCTCATGGTTAGTCCAACGGCAAGAGGATTCTAATCCATGACCCGTCAACCACTAAAGATATTTTATGTCAGTACTGTGGCTGGAGGGGACCGAGAGCAGAATTCGTATCAACATGTCATCTCTGGGATTCGAACCAGGATCACCCCATTGCGAAGTGAATGCTCCATTCCCTGAGCCACTGCGGTTCGAATGCTCTCATTAAAACTTTTCAGAGAATATTACTTAATCTGCAACGCATACTCTCAATTTTCACATTTCGTTTTAATAATATGAAATACAGAGATTCCGCACCTTGCTATCTCCCCTCTCGCTAGCACATTTTTCTCAACTATATTTTTCTCAAAATCAAAAAATATTTTCTTTATAAAATATAGTTTTATGCTACGTCATTTTGTTGACAGAAAAAATAAAATAAAACTCATATTAATTTCATAAAGGAAAATGTATCCTTAATTATATCAAATTTAAACTTTGTATATGCATTTCAGCGGGCTGTAGAGTGACCAGCATGATATTTTTTACTACAAGATTAACAGTTAATAATTATCGAACTAATAATGAGATTTTATTTTAGTTTGCAACTAAGATAACTTAATTCCTAATTAAATAGCCGGGTATTATTTAACGGTAGACATAAAATTATATTTTGTTTCACCAAAATTAAACCTTATGATAAAATCATAGATTAAGTATTTTTTTATAATTAAACAAAATATTACAAAAAGAAATATTTGAAATGAGAGCACCTATTAACAGTGTAATATTTTTATAATGTTAACTATCCAATACTTTACAGGAGATGAACACATTACAAATTATTTACTCCATTGCTTTATGTAACAAAATTATATTAAAACATGTTCATGGAGTACAATACTACGTTTAAAACCAATAATTATTTAGACAACTAGAACATTTTATAGACAAAGTCAAATGTAGTCTTATTTTAAGTTGTTATTTTGCCTTCATTAAATAATTGCATAAACTGTAAGACTAACTATATTTGCACAACAATTATAGAAATGTAATAGCTAGGTGTTAAATTTCTGAAGAGTAATTATTATTATGATGAAAAAATAACTAATATTAAGATGCAAAATTACTACTATTAAGGTAAAAAAAATTACTATTTAGATGATAAACTGAAGACTTTTACATGCCAAAATTATATATTTCTTGATTTGTAATCAAAAGATCCATTCTTTAGAATTAATTTATTTAAATCAGCTCAGTAATTAAGTCAGTTCATTCAATTAGTTCCAAATATTTTTAATTAGTTAAAAATAAGCAATTTCTAGAAATCAAATAATGACGAGTACAGAGTAAGTATAAGTTTAGTATAATTTGAACTAATACAGGATAACACTGAGAAACAGTCTCATATTATAGCATAGTATTGGGAATTAAATTGTTTATATCAACATGAAATAAGTATTACCATGGCGAAGAATAGTGAAGTCGTATCACTTGCCACGACTTTACTAGAACGATATGTATAAACAATTTCGATTTTCGAAATTATCATATAACAGATGTCATTTTTCTCTCACGTTACTGAGATTTATTTGCATGCAAAAAATAAATGACATCCGTGATAAATTGTTCTTATTTTGTTTTTCTTTCCTAGATAATTGCAAATTTTTTATCTTAAAGAAATAATTATTTTTTTTAAAAATTAATTGCGAAATTCTAATTTTGGGAAATGATTTTTTATTTACTTTTTGGAGAGAGTGAGAGGATATTATAAAGATATCGGGAAAAATCTTACATGATATTGTAAAGAAATTGATTATTCATAATCTCATAAAAACAAAATGAAGTAGAAAAAAACTTAAATTATAAATTATAGAGCAAAACAAGATAAATTGAAAAGCGTGTTTAAGCGACGCATGATTACTTCCTATCATTATCTTAATGGATTAGGGAATTTTCTTCACCAAAAATTTATAAAAATGAAACAAAAATCATCTTGCTAAATAAAACCATCAATACTATACAGAACTATCAAGCCATACAAAACCAAAACCATACACTGCGCTCCCATATGGATCAGAAATCTGAGCAATGACGAAATTACATTGAAATCGACTGCAAAAAATTTCTGGATACAGTGAATAATAATGGTACATGGAGGCACAGGCACATTAATGAGCTGTATATACATAGTTTGCTTATAGAAAGAACTCCCCTCGTCATGAAACTTAAGGCCGTTTGCTGTTATGGAAACAAGAAGTTGCTCAATTCAATGATGGGGCCTTTTTCCTTCCTGGTTCCCCTTTCTGTCGAACATGTCTAGTTCTAGTCAAAACATGTCTTCAATAGTGACTCAACACCCCTACTTGAAATAGTTAAACCACGTAACCATAGTCACCACCACTGTACCAGACGAATGGAAAGGGGAGTTTTTAACATAGAGAAACTATAGAAAAAGTCAGATTTTATAATCTACATTATAAAGTAAACTGCATTAAATTTGCTGGACAAGGGATAAGGTAGGTGCAAGGGGAGGAGGAGGGGGGGGGGAGAATCAGTGCCATCTGCGCCTTTTACATACACTCATGTCCATAAACTAAAGTTAATGTCAACTCCAGTGAATAAAGAGTGAGAAAAAAATAAATATATAGGACTTATTTATAAAGCTTTAATAAACATAAGATAAGGAACAAAAAAAAGATGATGTACAGGTATGTATGATATCATTCATAAAATCTACTATTTTTAGCAATGATTAAAAATATTGCCTTTACAAAACTTAATATTGCATGGTAGATATGATGGCTAATAGTCTTGCATGCGATGAAATACAGTCCGTACAATACATTTAGCCTGTCGGCATGCGGAGCATCAAATTATCAATCTGATCTTTTGGAAGATTACTGCTTTGAGCAAGCAATACTCTCCAGAGTCAGGATACACATGTAGAAGGTGGTTGATTGGCTGAAACTGATTGGTCAAGCATGCCCCACCTATGCTCTATCGGATTCAGGTTATTTTAGTTTTTATTTTATTACCGTCGTTAAAAAGTCAACCCAATTTGGGATTACGAATACTAATGTTCAACTCCGTAGCCTTGTAATTTTGAATCAATCCAGAAGACAAAGAAATTCCTACATCAGAGCCACCAGAGGTATGATTTATTATGGAAACATAGCCTAATAATGGATCACTTTACGCCTCGACAAATTTAGCGAGCAACAGTAACCAATCAATAGACAGGTGGGGCAGGTGGGGATCGAACCCACGATCTCTTGAACATAGGCCAAGTGCCCTACCAACCAAGATCAGAATGCTGGTCATTCCATACGAGTGATATCCTCGGATTGAAGGTATACGTTTACGATGTTTGCTCGATGAGGACGAGAGAGCCCATGGCACCTCAAAACAAAAATATATGCTGCTTTGGAATGATGTTCCGATAAATTTGGCCTGTTATGATCTCGATTTGAACATGCGAATCTGTTCTGGAGCATGTTCTAGGACTCAATCTTAATGATTCGAAGGGATCATCTCAATTATGCTAATTAATTATTGCAGATGATATTTTAAGTTACGAATTTTAATTTTTCCACACATGCGTATTATGAAAGAACTACTTAAAAAATTCATATCTTGTGCTAATTTCAACGATTTTTTTTTTTAAATTTTGAAATGGTAATTTTTTTTAGTTGAAAATTGCACCATTTTTCTTTTGAATTTTATTGAACAATTTTAAAACCATAGCAAAAAAAAGAAGAAAAAACTTAAGGCAAAAAGATTAGTTTTTTTGTAATCTCCATAAATATTTAAGCTAGGTTCGCAAAATTTTATTCAATTATTTCAAATACAAAGTAATCGATACTTACAATATTATAAGTTTATAAGCTTATTGCTGTATTTTTTGGCACAGGATGTTCAAAAATACTTGTTTCGTTTGTAATTTATAAGCAGTCTGTTAAACCTCAGAAAATTTTAAATTTATTCGATGAATCTGACCTAAAGACCTAAACACCTCCAAAGTTGCAAAATAATCATCTAAGTATTTCTCGAGAAATTAAAAAAGAAATATCAGAAACTGAAAGTGCCTGCAGGATAGAATATTTATCACATCTAAATACTTCAGCGTTTTTGCGCAAGTGTATTTGCCTGTTTTAATTTTACCAGAATACAGATGAGATGATAGTAGTAGTAGAACTTCATTTACGACGTACTAATGGTGGACAATGGGCTATTGGCGACGGTCTAAAAACATCCCTGCTTATGATCTAAATACATGCCATCACTAATTTGGTCCACTGCATAGGGAATGGCTCCCCCAATGATTTGCGTACAAAGTCGAGGAATTTCTGTTTAACGAGGTCCAATACTGAGAACCCTCCGTCCCTTCGCAGGGTGATCAAAGTGGCCACCTACCCTCTCACTGATTGCAGCCAGTCATGCTTGACTTCGGTGATGTACTGGAATCCGTGTCTTTACGATCAGTCCACAGTGGTACAATGAGATATATTGTTTACATAGCAGTTCACTGAGCGTAAGTGCTTTGCTTGAAGAGGGACACTTCTCAGCGTATTACCCTTTTTTGAAGTAGAATTGTCCCGGAATGGTTTTCAATGCTCTCAAAGACAAACGGTTATTTCAAAAACCATACTTATCTTACGGCAACAAATTAAGGCGTCAAGAATGTGAACGTTAGGACACGAAACGTGTGTTAAGAGTATTTTGTATCGGGAATTTACCTAATCCAATCGAAAATATACCATACTGTTAATTAATTTGCTAGCTAGGAATAAATTCAAGTTATCATCTTTATTTCTCATTGCTTAGAAGCAAACTTTATGGTAAATTTACACATGTTCACTGAAATGTCACTTAGAATCTTCATCCATTGAGCTCTTTAGTCTTACAATATATTAATGTTTAATAGATGATGTCGAAATGGTCATACTTGAATCTTTTACTCTTATTGGTTCTATCTGATTGGTAAGACTTTTTAAAGTTTTCTTGCTAATCTCAAACTGTTTTTTAAATTTGTTTCACATGCTAGAAGCGATTTTCTTATCGTTCTGAGTTTGAAAAAAAAAGTGTTAAAAGTAAAACATTTGGCTACAGAATTAAACTTTTCTTTAAGGCAATTACGTTAATCTTTATCAATGTACATCTGAAAAAAATAAAGCGAAACATCTGTTAACGATGATAAAAGCCTTATGCAACTTTTAACTTTAGCATAGGAAGTTTCAGGTAAGTAATAAGAGGTTTTAATTTTATTCTTTATGAATACTTTATTGTTAAATTTGCTTATTAGAACCTACTAGCGTGTTCTGCTCCTCTCTTCGCTCTTCAGCCAAAATGATTCCTACGGAATTAATTTTTATTCCTTGATTAGATAAATACACAAAAATTAAACAATACTTCATTAAAGGATCCGAAATTTTCTTTTTTATTAACACAGATTTGACTTCAAAAATTTAGTTTTCGGTTCCGTTTAGGTTTGGGATAAAAATTGAGCCTAATCATTTCGCTCGGTCATCATGACAACTTCAGTTACAATTTTGATTTTCAAATCTATTTTTTATTTTTTGGAATCACTGAAAACACGTTAACTTCATACCAAAAAACTATTTAATAATAGTGCGCAATTGTGAATCCTAATAATGTCATACAATTATGTACTATTTTCATATGTTGACTGAATAAGGTTTAACATTCCTTCTTAACTCTTTAGCCCTTTGACGCAGATCGAACTCTAGTGTCTCTTTTATATATTTTTTATGACGCTCTAATTACAAGCTAAAATATAGGTTGGTATTTTATAATTATTGGTATTTAATAATAATCTAAAAGCTACTATAAAAAATCTGTAAAATTATGGGAATTACATTTGTAATAAAATATATAATCCAGAAAAAGTAGTTTTAATTATTTCTTCATTCGTATTCAAAAATTTATCGGTAATTGATCCTGTAAATTAATGGAACTTCAATGAAGAATAACTGTTTCTCTTAGATCAAAATAACTGTAAATAGGGGCGAATTTGAAAAATTATTGTTTGGGAGGGAATTGTGTTTGCAAGATTTAAACTTTAATGCAGTAAAACGACACTGATGTTTCACGCTGTATTTCTTAACAGTAATTTAGTAAAATGCTAAGTACAATAAAGAAATAATGAAACGATTAAACCTCTGCTTCAAAAGATTAACAATTTTGAACTGTTAATTGGTGAGACACAATATTAAATAGGATAACAGATATTTTTAAATTATATTGCGTACTAAGTAACAATCGTAATATTACTTAATTAAACTGTTTCTAGTTTTCAGTCATTAATTTTTTAAAAATAATCAAAATTAGAAACAAATTACTAACAGCAGAGAATAATGCTAAGAAAAAATAATAAATGAATATTATAGATAAATGCCAATTAATTAGAGATGAAGAAATATTTTATTAGTGAAAAATACCTATATTAATTTTGCTAATTTTATGCTGATCACAATTACAGAAATCAGACTTTTCTTTGTTAATTAAGAAACAATACCATGCAATTTTAGGACCAATACGGATTATCATTTTTATTGCAATCTTGTTTT